TTAGTAATAACAGCAGTATGATAAATCTGAGTCCAAACTCTGAACATTTTAAATTAGTAAGATCATACTGCTGGTTTATTAAAAATGTAAAATTACAAATTAGGTCAGTGTCTTTCTTTTAACTTTTTACTTTGATTTAATGGTACTGCAATTTCATCAATATAATATTTCAATCCATTTAACAATCATTCATCATTTCCTTAAATTTTACATAATGTAAGGGCAAAGGTCTTTGTGAAGTTTCTTTTCCCTGGAATGCTTCTCATTTAACTAGACGCAGTAGCTATAGGATTATAGTTTCAGCTACTCTTTTTCAAAAAGAACAGTTCCTCTTTACATAGATTTTTTAAAAGAAAAATTAGATGTATTTAAGTATGAATTTATACAATAGAAAAATATTAACTTGTATTTAAATTCTCTTTTCCACCTGCTGAGGAGGAAGGAATCTCTATGTTGTTTGGAGATGAACTTTGTGTTTTTCAGTAGGGTAAAGCCTGGAGATGAAGAATTGGATAAGCCAAATTCGACTCCAGGAGGAAAAAAAAAAAAAAAAGAGAGAGAAAACACACAAAAAAGACCCTAGACAGGTGGCAAAGCAGTACATGTGACCAGAAGACCAAAGGCAATGTAGAGGACTACAGTGTTCTCGAATTTAGACGTGCATCAGGTTTACCTAGGAATTTAGGAGAATCATAATTGATTATTAAATGAATGTTTACAACACAGATTTCTTGTCTCTGCCCCCAGAGTTTCTGTTTCAGTAAGTCTAAAACATTGCTTAATAACTTGCATTTCTAACAGGTTCCTGGGTGGTGCTAATGCTGCTGGTCCAGAGACCACACTTTAAGAACCATTGTTATACAGGATATGTAGGAAGTTTTGCTTTGGTTTGTATGGTATAACTTTCCAGCTGACCAACCATCTCTGTTTATCTGGAACCAAAGGATTTCCTGAAACTTGCAAGGCTACAACTGGAAAGTCTCCAGCAAACCAAGAAGATTGGTCACCCTACATCATACCTTCAACATACTTTCAGCAAAAGAGCTAAAATACTGGTTAACACATTTATATCAAAATGTTGCATTGTTTTCTTTTAATTAATTAATTCATTCATTCATTGGTTAATTATAAAAGTTTTTTCGTCAATATGTTGAAATTGAGCTCAAGGTTAGACTTGCTTTTTGAATGTCATCATGTATGATTTTGCCCAAGGTATAGTACCCTGCTGTAGTTAGAACTGTCACCTAGAACTGAGTAAGCCATCTCACGACTATCAGTATCCAGTGATCAGTGTTTTGGTTCAGTAGCAAGTGAAAAGCATTCAATAAGAGGAAGAATGGTACTTGGTCTATCACTTCAAAGTAAGAGGGTACTTAGACAAATTTCTCTTAGAATTACAGTCTTTAGGGAAACTCACTGTTTGGAAATTTATGTTCCACAGAATTCATATACACAATGTTACATGAGTTCATCAAATTAGGAATGTCAGAATTGATCAGGATGGGCTAAGTTTCATGGCAGTAATAAAGGCAAAATCTTAATGGCTTAAATCAACAAATATTTCTTTTTTTAATGTTTGTTTTTGAAAGAGAGAGAGAGAGAGTGCATGCCCCAGTGGGGGAGTGGCAGAGAGTGAGGGAAATAGAGAATCCGAAAGTAGGCTCTATACTGTCAGCACAGAACCCCACGTGGGGCTTAAACTCACGAGCAGGGCTTGAATTCAAAAGCAGAGATGTGAGATCAAGATCATGATCTAAGTCAAAGTCGTATGCTTACCTGACTGAGCCACTCAGGCACCCCATAAATATTTACTTCTTGTGAACACTACCTATCCTTAGAACTCCAACAGAAATTGCTTATTTTTCTTGCCTAACTTTTTATATCATAATTCAAATAGCACAAAATAGAGAACTTAACTAATGTTCAATGATGATGGAATTACTCATCCTAGTGTTGACTCTCTTCCACAAAATAAACATCTGTGGGAAATTGGGGTTGAAATCCTGAACAGAGAATGCAAAGTGAATATGAATCATGATCCAGTTTTAAAAGATAAGCCTAGTAAAATATAGCTTACTTCATTAAAATCCCCACAGGTAGCTATTTTATTAGGTCTTGATTTGTGGCAGACTTTGGAAAAGCATTTATAGGTTACTGGAGATGTGGTAATCCCAAAGTGGATATATGACAAACCTTCACCAATTTGTAGATAGTAAAAATAATTCACCAACAAACTAGTATTCTGTGAAGACCACTATGGAACCAATAGGATTTCTTAGCATTCATGTTTTGCACTGATGGTTTCCAAATCTGAAAATTATTATTCAGTGGTTTGAGATGGTACCCTGGAATCTAATTTTTTACAAGGCTCTCCAGCAGATTTTAATACAATTACTCTGCAAGGTGGACATCTAAAAAAAAAGACATCTGTATTTTCAATTTGGTAGATAAAAACATAAAGGAGTAGAACGTAGATGTAAGGTTACTGGGACTAACAAACATTCATTTCAGTATAAATTGAAGATTGTTTTAAACAATAACAACATGGGGTCATTTTATTACTCTTGAGCTGATATCCTAGTTTCTACCTTTGCCTCTGTCACTAATTTCCTATGTGATTTCAGGTAAAGCACTTATTTTAACTGCAGCTGCTTTTCAGAAATGAAATCAATTAGATTAAAGAAGATCCCTAGCAGTTCTAAAGCCCCATATTTCCTTGAAACATTCACGTAACCTTAAAGGGATGTGTGTGATATCTATAGGGACAGGATGTATAATGTAAGCTCTTGATGGCAATTTTTATATAAAGAAATTTGTAGCATAAATCTCTGGCCTTACTCTACTACCTTGAAAAATTTGCCACTATTTCAGGGATAAGTCAACAGACTGCAGGGTATTGATGGGGAGGGAGGTTTAAGACATGTTAGCCCCAAATATGATAACTTGTTATATTGAATATTTCAAGCCAAATAAATTTGAGAAATGGCATGTGCAGGAAGGATTTTCTGGTCTTCCAATGAAGCAGATCATAAAACCTAGAGAGGACTTTCTGACCTCCTGAAGCAGATCATAAAACCTTTATGTGAGAGGTGGCCTTCCTACACACAGAGGAAAGAAGCATCCTTATTTTTGAAATTGAAGGAACATAGAGGAATCTGAATGAACAGGCCTTGCTAAGTTTCTTCCAGTTTACTATACTTACCTCATACTTTTTGTCTTATCATACCCTTTCACTACTTTCCACTCTTCATCAAACCTAGCATAAAAATGCTCAGATTGAACTATCTCTTCAAGTTTTCACTTCCATACGAGGGCTCCTATGTCACATAAAATTTATATTAAATATACTTGTATGCTTTCTCCTCATTAATCTGTCTTTTGTTACAGAGCTCCCAGTTGAGAACTTAGAAGGGTAGAGGAAACAGATACTTTTCCTCCCCTACAGTATATATGTCACCTTTGAGTAAATCATGGGATCTGGGGCCATTACTTGTAGACCATTACCTACTTTTTGAAGACTGAATCATCTGGACATGATTTTAAATAGGTAAGCACATTATTGACCCAGTAATAAAATGGGAGATAATAAAGAAAACAAAGCTAAGCATCACATCAAAACAGAATCCTGACATGATTTGATTCCAGTGGCTTAAATATGTTTCCATCCCACCCCTATTCACGTTGTGCCCTTTTATTAACGAAGAAATAGCAGAGACTGAATAGGGATGCAGTTTAATTTGTCTAAATTGGGACAGTGTGAATTAGCTTGGACTCAAAGAAAAATGAACTGAGAACCTTGAGGTTTGTAACACTAAACAAATCCTGACACTTTTCTAATGTATTCCCACCAAAGACAATCTGACTGAGAGTACCCAAGAGGGCATCCTTCAAAACATGCCAACTATGTTCAAGGCAAAATTACAAGACATAATTTATCTTCAGCATTCTTCAAATATTCTCTTTCACTTCCTGCCCCTAACTCCTAATATCAGAAATGTGCGAAATCTACACAACCTGTAAACAGTTTACCAATTTAAGAGCTTAGTATGTGAAAGCCGTTTGGGGGACTACAAATATTACTGATACACAGTGCCACCCATTAATATGTTCATGCTTATTATTTAGTAGTAAAAATAAAATACTGCAGCAGAGATATGAACGAGAACAAACTTGCCGACACAGAGAATCCTTTCTTATCTAAAACACCCCCAAATCCTAAAAATTTCTTTCCCCAGCTCCTACAGAGTACTGCAATCTGGTTATCAGAGTGCACTATGAATGCCGACTTAACTAAATCCCCTTTAAGAGTGTCCACATTCTAAAAGAGGTCTTTTTTAACCTTAAAAAAAATCCTCTAATTAAGTGAAGTTCATTCAGCAGTGAAAAGCCTCTTCAGACATTCAAGTTTTAATCTGGAAGTCGTAATCTTAGCTTCCATAACCAAAGTTCCCCTCCTACACTCCAAAATTGATGAAACCAAATATCCTGGAATCACAGGTTTCAATTCAGATCACATGAAAGAAAAATAATTAGGGGGAAAGGTGCAAAATGTCAGGGCTTGGGGATTGCAAACGTGGGGAAGCGATGCCACCTCCTGGTAAGAGATGAGAACGAGCAGGAAAAAAGCCAAATGCAACTAGAGGGATAAACAACTGCGACTTTCCCTTCAAAGCCATCTAGCCGCGCAGCTACAGCCCCTGTAGACTCCGGGATCCGCCCCTCCCGGTGGCTCTGACCACTCCAGGGCGACCTGCGCAACGTGATTGACAGGGCAACAGCCCGGTCCGTTACCTAAACTCGTCACTCCGGAAACAGTGACCGGATCCCTCCGGAAGATCAGGGTCCGGGCTCTCCCAGCATCCTTTGCTTTCCGGCTATGCTCAGTCCTGTCCGGCCAGTCCCGCCTTGCGCGCCCATTTCGAGCCCGAGTTTCAAGCTCGACTTTGCAGGCTCGAGAACCCGGAACAGATTTTCCAGGACTGGGTTCTTGGGCAGTGGCTATGGGGGCAGGAATGGCGCAGCTCGAGGGTTACTACTTCTCGGCTGCCCTGAGCTGTACCTTTTTAGTGTCCTGTCTCCTCTTCTCCGCCTTCAGCCGGGCGCTGCGAGAGCCCTACATGGACGAGATCTTCCACCTGCCGCAGGCGCAGCGCTACTGTGAGGGCCATTTCTCCCTCTCGCAGGTGGGGTCCCCAACCTACCCCCACCCTAGGGCAGGCCAGAGAGGGCTGACCCAGCCCCAGCACTACTTTCTACCCCCCCACCCCCCTTATCCTTTGATCCCTCCGCTCTACCCTTCCAGTTTCGAATTATGAAAGGAACTGGGTAATCTTTTGTTCCTGTCCCTGAGATCTGTGAAATGTTTGTTTAATGAATGAATATAAGCAGATCTGTGTCTCAGGAAGTAATGTTCTGAGAAATTAGCTAATGGAATAATATATTTGCTTTGTCACAAGGTACAACCCAGGCGCACGGTACATTTGTTTCCCTCTTGGTGGCTGGTATTAGCTATCCCAGCTTTTCTTCCCCAATCCCTAGATCAGAGGCATCGGCCTGCCCCCTTGGAAATGTCAGGAAACCTCACTTTAGTTCACCTGTTAAGAGCTTCCCCCAATATTTTGGGTGTGCGATACTGTGGGGAATGGGGGGAATGAGGGGAATCTTCAGCCACCAAGAAGTGACAAGTTACATTAATTCCATTCTTGGTGTTTTTAGGAACCTTCAGTTAACTGGAGAAACTAGCACCCAGTGAGGTGGCATCATGTTTGAAAATATAAAGGCCTATGTAAATATAAAGATAAAAAATAAAGTAGATGTATTATCCTTACTTTTCTGGGGAAGCAATGTGGTTAGAAATATAAAGTCTGTAATTTTTGTGTGGTTATTTACTAGTTATGTGACCTTGAAAAATTTTTGAGCCTCAGGTTACTTCTCTGAGAATGACAATTTTAACAGGATCTACTATAAGATGTGTTGCAGGATTAAATAAAGAGGATTTGGCACAATTCTTGGCTCAGTACATGTTAGCTACCATTATGGAGCCTGTGGTTTGATCTCTTTAAACACTTCTTTCCCTCCAAAACCATCAGAGTTCTAGTCAGTGTTTCCACACTTTAAAATGGGAACATTTGCAGTTTGATCACTAAAATACAGGGTTTCTGAAGGGTAGGTCTTGGAAAATGGAAACTGGTTTTAAGTTGTTGTTGTTTACTGGTTACAGTAAACAGGTACAGAGGCACAGAACAGGTACAGAGGCAAAATATAAGCAAAACTTTTGTTTAGAGGAGATATTTTATCTGCTGAGGACTTACCTAACCACCGTGTCACAGACTAACTTCTCAACATACCTGATCATTGGTAGAGATGTTTTTGAGCTTGACTTCCTTGTGTAGGTCCTGTTAGTATTTCATCTTGTTTTTGCTTCATTGTTGGCCTTTCCTTTTTAAGTGGGATCCCATGATTACTACATTACCCGGCTTATACCTGCTGTCAGTTGGAGTGGTCAAACCTGCCAGTTGGATCTTTGGATGGTCTGAACATGTTGTGTGCTCCATTGGAATGCTCAGATTTGTTAATCTTCTCTTCAGTGTAGGCAACTTCTATTTACTATATTTGCTTTTCCGCAAGGTACAACCCAGACACAAGGTATGTTTCCAAAATAATTTATTGTAAGTTTCTATGTAGTCAGATCCACAATTTTGATAAATCGATTTTATGAGATTTGGTGAAAAGTATCTTGAACACTTAGTCTTTATGTATATTTTGTTAAGATAAAGCAAGTCTCCTACCCCCATTTTAGAATAAGTTTGTATTTAAATACTTGAATGATTTGTAATACTTTGATTTGTGAAACCTAAAATAAATATTTGTGAATCAAATGAGTTCAGTAAATGTTTATGGTGCTTATTATGTGTGGTAGGCACTGAGACTACAGAAATAAATAAGGCATTTTTTTTTCTTTACCAAACTTTTATCTTCCTTAGGGAAGACAGACTTTGAGGAATTGTGAGGTGGATTGCCTAGCTTTGAATTCTGTCCATTTCCAAGTTGTGTTACTTTTAGCAGGTCACCTTTAGTGACCCCTTACTGTATTCTTCTATTAAATGGAAATATAGAATCTACATCAGAGGACTGTTGGAGTACAGGAGATTAATAAAGGGAAGGCATTTGGAATAATGCCTGATAGAATAGTAAGGACTCAATAAATATTAATTATAATAATTAGGTTTCACTTAAATGATTTCAATAGTGTAAATGATGAGAGGGAGATAGGTATAAGACATTATAAGGACTCAGAAGGATTAGAGGAGCACTTATTTTGTAGCCTGAATGGCAGTAAGATGTATGGGTGGCATTGGGTAAGACTTCCCAGAAAAGATGGTATCTGAACTGAATCCCGATGAATAGACAGTACTGTAGGGTGGGGAATGAATCCTGGCAGGAGAAAAAGCATAAGCAAAGGTAGAAAGGAGGTGAGCAACAAGATCATACAGAATTGCTCTTTGGAATCACAAGATGATACAGTACAAGGATGTGAGGCTGGACAAGTGGGTAGGGGTGAAGTCATGAATGCCTTCATATGTCATGGAAAGGATTTTGAACTTGATCTAGTAAGTGATGGCATACAGCTTTTAATTTTAACCAAGAGAATGGCATGGTCTGATTTGGTGATTTAGATTAAGTGGAAGATAAAATTTCAGGAGATAAGAATACTGTCAAAATCTGAAATAGCTTTTGAGAAAGGCCAAAATAAGATATTTAACTTTAGACTGAGACCACTATTTTCAGTAAAAAACCTGTAAATTCATCATGAAACAGTAAGACCATTGGGTATAGTGGTAAAAATGCTATATACATATTTACATTGCCTCTAAAGTTTTGAAGGGAGTATCTTTAAAAGAAATTAAGGATGATGGCTAAATGAATGCTTTTTAGAAGCGCTAAGACTTAGTTCAGGGAAATGAAACTGTGTGCCCTGTGTCCCGTTCATCAACATGTTCCTCATAGAATTTAGTTCACACAATAACTCCTTCATTATTTGTTGAATCATTCAAAGTGTTTTAGAACATAGAGGCTTTGGCATACACATGTGTTGTCTTCATGACTTTCAAACTGATAAATAGAACTAAAAGGTACCAGAAAGCATCCTTACAAATGTATGTTGTGTTTTTGCAAAGCTAGAAATAAGATTAACGTTGAATAATTTTATTTAAGATTAAGGTAGTTTTTGTTTTTTTAATAAATCTCTGTTAGCCCAGCAGAAATAGCATATTTGTTTTATTGTGAAAATAATTGTAAATGTATTTTCTTTTCCTCTTAGGCTGCCTCAAGTATCCAGAGAATCTTGTCAACATTAACATTAGCAGTATTTCCCACACTCTATTTTTTTAACTTCCTTTATTATACAGAAGCAGGATCCATGTTTTTTACTCTTTTTGCCTATTTGATGTGTCTTTATGGAAATCATAAAACTTCAGCTTTGCTTGGATTTTGTGGCTTCATGTTTCGTCAAACTAATATCATCTGGGCTGTCTTCTGCGCAGGAAATATCATTGCACAAAAATTAACAGAAGCTTGGAAAACTGAGCTACAAAAGAAGAAGGAAGAGAGGCTTCCGCCTATTAAAGGACCATTTTCAGAATTCAGGAAAATTCTTCAGTTTCTTTTGGCTTATTCCATGTCCTTTAAGAACTTGAGTGTGCTTTTCCTTTTGACTTGGCCGTACATCCTTCTGGTGTTTCTGTTTTGTGTTTTTGTAGTTGTTAATGGTGGAATTGTTATTGGCGATCGAAGTAGTCATGAAGCCTGTCTACATTTTCCTCAACTCTTCTACTTTTTCTCTTTTACTCTCTTTTTTTCCTTTCCTCACCTATTGTCTCCTGGCAAAATTAGAGCTTTTCTTTCCTTAGTTTGGAAACGTAGAATTCAGTTTTTTATGATCACCTTAGTCTCTCTGTTTTTAGTTTGGAAATTCACTTATGCTCATAAATACTTGCTAGCAGATAACAGACATTATACATTCTATGTATGGAAAAGAGTTTTTCAAAGATATGAAATTATGAAATACTTGTTAGTTCCAGTATATATATTTGCTGGTTGGAGTATAGCTGACTCCTTGAAATCTAAGTCAATTTTCTGGAATTTAATGTTTTTCATATGCTTGTTTACTGTTACAGTACCTCAGAAACTGCTAGAATTTCGTTATTTCATTTTACCTTATGTTATTTATAGGCTTAACATACCTCTACCACCTATATCTAGACTTGTTTGTGAACTAGGCTGCTATGCAGTTGTTAATTTCCTAACTTTTTATGTCTTCCTGAACAAGACTTTTCAGTGGCCAGATAGTCAGGACATTCAGAGATTTATGTGGTAATGTCAGAGATATCTTGAGTTCTAAAAATGGACTTATATAGACTATCTCCACAATGAACAATTGAAGAGGTAAAAATTACGGACTTTGTTTTAGGCACAGTGGTGATCCACAGATCACATCAGATTTTTTGTGTTTTAAACATACATAATAAATCCAAGGAACTGATAAAGAACTGAGAAAAGTTTAAGACTTGCTCCATAAGCCTGAATAGTGGAAAATGAAATTGTTTACAGTTATTTCATGATATCTTTTTGATACTGCTGACCACTCAAAAAGCTTGAAAACATTTTACAGGTACAAGTTTAAGAAAACTGAGCTTTGTAGTACTGAAACTTATTTATGAATTCTCTTCAGAAAGCAATAGCAGACAAGTATTTGAAACATATTGACAAATGATCAGGTAATGTTCTTGATTAAAATATTTCAGTGATTATAATTTGAATCATAAGGCAAAATAGACTCAGATAGTAAATGTTATAAATTAGAGGCTCATCTATGTTTATCTTGGAATTAAGTTGTTAATTTTTGTTAAAAATCTAGAAATGATCAAGCCCTTTCGCTAATTCTTTTTTTAAAAAAATATATTTATTTATTTAAGTAATCTTCATACCTGATGTGGGGCTCAAACTCACGACCCCAAGATCAAGTCACATGCTCTACTGACTAAGCCAGCCAGGTGTCCCCCTTTCACTGATTATTAATATGAAATATATGATGGCCAAAGATAAATTGTGTTGATGATAATACCTTTTAAAAGGGATTTTCGTTCAGAGATACATTAGTGTATTCATTTCTTCTGGTTGCTGTAACAGATAACCACAAACTTGGTAGCTATAAAAATATCTAATTTCTAAAATTAAGGTGTGGCCCGGTTGATTTTTTCTAGAGGCTCTGGGAGAGAATCTGTTCCATGTTCTAGCTTTTGGTGACTGTCTGCAGTCTTTGATTTACAGCTGTGTCACTCCAATCTCTGCCTCTGTCTTCACATGGTCCTCTCTCTCTTATAAGGACAATGTCATTGGGTTAGGGTTTACCTTAATCCAGGATGGTCTTATGCCAAGACCTTTAATTAAATCTACAATGACCCTTTTTCAAAAGTAAGGGCACATTTATAGGTTCCGTGTAGACATCTTTTTGTGGGATACTTTTCACCCACTGAAGTTACCAAAGGATATTTTAGGATAAACTTCATAAAATTTGTAGGAAATAATTTCTTTGCTGAGATATTTTAAATAAAATTACGTCTTCACTAAGAGCTGATTCCAAGGTTACAGAATTACAAAAGTAAGGGTAATTTGGTATTTGATTCCATTATCCAAAATAGAAGTGAAAGGAAGTTTAGAGATCCATTGAGCTAGTCTTATTTTGTAGATTAGGAAGCAACTGTTCAGATAGGAATTTTATATGAGTCTTTAAATTCTGTGTTTACTGTTTCATGTGAATTCACTTGGTTGTCATTCCTTTACAGAAAAGTAGTACTTGGACATGTTTACTTTGATGTGCAAACTTAGAACTGTGAACAGAATTTATCTTTTAATATCATTTTACATTTGTAAACTTTTAAATAACTGTGAACAAATTACTTTATCTTCAATGTTAGATTATGGTTTCTCTGGGTTTTAAACAATGGGTGGATTTGGAAAATATTCTGCATTTGCAAATATAAAATTGTGTAGGTGAAAATTACAGGTATAGTCTTTAGTAATAAGTATAGGGCAGTCTTGTATTCTGTTCAGTACTTAGAAAGTATATTGATTCTCTAGTTGTAACAGTGATTGTTGAGAGATGTTTTTAACAACTCATTTTTTTTTGATAATTAGATAAGAAAACACGAATTATTATCTTATAATGGAGATCTGAGTTCCAGGAAGTCAAAATAAACAACTTTCTTATCTGATACTATTAATGCAAGGCTTTTGTGACTCGGAATATTGTTGAGATGAAAAAACTTCCCCTCTAACCCAGTCTGGCAACATGAGGAAACCATTCTACTCCATATTGGGGGAATCACTGTTCCAGTTCATTTGTAAGTGTTGAATTCCTGCTATTTTAAGAGATTTTTTTGGAGGAAATCCACACTCAGAGGGAAACAGGGTAATCTTCCATGTTTTCCATACAGTATATAAAATACAGTACTTAATACTTTAGAAAAGAATACTGTGAATTAAAAGGTGCTATGGAGCATAGCTTTTAGAAACATCTTAGGTTGCATTTGTGTTTTGAAGATTTTTCAAGAATTATTGGATATGTATTTTGACATTTTTTGAAAATTAAATTGAATTTCTTGATTAAAAGGTAATTATTGAAAAAAAAAAAAGAAGTATTGATAAGCTGGATAGCCTGTGGAGCCTTGTGATTATTGTTAAAGTCTTTAAGTAGGATTATTTTAAAGAATGTCCTAAAAATATTTAGTGCATAAATTTTCTAAGCCTTATAATAAATCTTTTTGAACTGTTTTTAGCTTACATGAAATTCCATAGATACAGAGTATTCCCTTTATATGGTGTTAGTAAGCAGTGTGCTGTGTGTTTCCTCACACACTATTTGTGTTTTCTTTTGTTAGATATCTGGAAATCTTTTTAATATGTCCAACTATGTTTTTAAATTATTTGGAAATACAGTGTTCCTGAGTGTAAATATAGAATGTCATTTTGTCATAAGACAAATTATGTTAGCTGTCTGGCCTCTTCGTCTTCTTAAAGTTATTTCTGGAATGTGCTTAGTCTGTCATGAAGTACATTAATGTAAGTAGCTTAATGCAGTTTATTTCTAACAGATAAATAGCTTAATGTAGTGTACTTCTTGTTTGAATTTAACTGTCACTATTCTTGATATTTTTTTTCTTCATAATCATCTGAAGGTAGGAGAGGAGAAGAAAAGAGATCCTTATTTTTATTATACTGCCTAAATAGTGGACAGTTATTTTAGATAAACATTTAAGTAAAATGTGGAAATAGAAAAATGAATTCACATTGATCAGGTTAGAGAGCATTTATTATCTTTGAGCCAATTAGAATTTCCTTTAGTGAAACAAGAAAAATATCTGGCAAGTAATATGAGAAAGCCTTTTCAAATAGAAATTTAAATATGACATAGAAACCATGGGCTTGTAGAAAAAGCATTTAACATGAAAGTTAGGATTTCTGTATTTGTGACTTTGGATTCAATAAAGCAGGTGGTTTTAAGCATTTGACCTCATTTCAAGTGGAAACAGTATTTGTCCTAACTCTAGTTATTCTAGCCTGTCATGTGTCTAGCCTAATTTCAAACTAATTCAACCTCCACCGTATATCCATAAAGTTCATACATGTATAGTAAATGTGAAGTGTATACTGAATGAAGTTTTTAGTATAGAATGAAGTGAATGTCCTAGAAAAGATATACTATATAACCATAAACCAACCTTAGGAAATAAATCACATGCTTCATAATGAAAACCGTCCTAAACTTTTTTCTGCCTAAATTTTCTGCCTTATTTAAAATTTTTTTTTATTTACTATACTGTTTAATACTTATATTATGTATCTATTTGTAAATATGTTATGTTTTATAGGATGTGATTTCAAAATTATTGCTGTTTTATTTAAAATAAGTAACTCTCAACCATTAAAATATAATAGCAGTAAAACTTCTGATGCTTATTAAACTCTTAAGGGAAAAGAGATTTCAAGCAATTACGAATAATTTGTGTTATTTTAGTTAGGCTGCATTTTACTACTTTAGGAATAAATGTTATTTTTTATTTAGGGTACTTTTTTATGATTTAAATGTTGACAATTAGACAAATATTTGCAATATATTAAAACTTGTATTATAAGAAAGAAGAAAGAAAATTATAATAAAAGTAGATAGATGATATATTTTTTAACACATATCCATGAACCCAATACTAAATTCTTTAACATTTAAAAATTATTTCTAGAGTAAGAAATGTTGCCACAGTGAGAAATCTAATACTGTTACATTTTGCTTATAAAAAATGGGCATTTGGTGAATTTAATGTTAATTTGAGCCCAGTACATCACCATCAGGCAAAAAGAAATATGGTATTTTTCTGAGGAGATAAATATTAAGCATTGTATTGATTTTTTGCACACTGACTGAAACTTTTCTGATGATTCAGTTCAGCTGAACTGTGTTGGGGGTGGGAAGGCACGTACAAAATGAGAAAGAGAGGGAGGAAAAGTAATGGTAACTAACAATTGCTGTCATTTATTGAGCACCTAGAGTGTTCAGGGCATTATGTGGACTGATTTATAAATATCGTCTCATTTGATCCTCATATTTGTATGGGGCAGATACTGATTTCTCTTTAACCGCTGGAGAAGCTAAAATCATGCAGACCAGGCAAGTCGCCCAAAGTCCGCATCGTCACTGAAGAACATTGATTGGCCTTACTCCCAAACCTGTGAGTTTTTAATTGATACTCTGCCTCACTGTGAAAGTTTTTCATTAAGAGAAGTAAAATATGGAGAGCTGGTCATCTGTCTTTACTGTGCATTAACCAGAACATTCATGGCATATTATTGTTTGTATTGGATTTTGTATTGTAATAGTCATTTTTTAAAATGCTAGCAGCTGTTTAAAAGAGCATGAACAGATAGTTATGTTGTAAGAGAAATGGCTAAAAGATTAGAGACAATGTTTAACTTGGAGAATTAGAGATTCTACAACTTGATAGGCTTTCATAATTGAAGAATAATTATTTGGAAGAAGGATTGGACTAGTCTTCATTCCCTGAAGTGTATATCAAGGGCCAACAGATTTCAACTGATAAAAAAATGTACATTTTCTGTTTAGTCTCTGTGGGGAATGGATCCAGAAAAAAGTAAGTTTCCCCTCTCGTTGGAGGCAAGATTTCTATTTATCAGGAATGCTTCAAAAGTGATTGAGATAGTAAGTAGAGTAAAATGTTTTTAAGATGCTTCATAACCCGGTGATTTGAAATTCATGTTTGTTACAACTGACCTTTTTTTCATGAACTGATAAGTCGTGGTGAA